ACATGTTCCTCCTCAGTTGACTTTCAATGGAATACATGGCATCAGACAGAATTCTTCAGTTCCAATTACTTCACAGAATTTCAGCTGATACTGACTGCTAACAACTGGATTTTTCACATGTTATATAGAATTCAGCGAATTCTGTAAACTGTGGAAACTCACGAGTTTGGGGTGGGGCAGCCAAGAGTGATGCAGTTGTGACCAAATCTACATCAGTGACACAGAAAATGTTTCCTGAAGATAAGGATGGTATTTCTGTGAAACAGTTCAAATTCAGAAGCTGGAAGAGGCTGTAAGCTGTTTTTATCATCATATTCACAACAAAACTGTAGTCATCAGTGAAACAAAATCAAAAGAAAAATCATCTCAAGTATAAAAATCCAAATAACAAATGGTGCATATGAAGGTATATATGTACAAACGAAGAGAGATTTGACAATTTCACAAAGTTCATCTGCTTTATGAATTACATTACATCATGCCCTGCAGAGGCAATTTTATGTAAGAGAGTCATTTGTGTGTATGTATGAATATCCCAATGGCATGTGTAAATCAAAAGTGTGCTGAAAACAGTATCTAGCAACTTTTTAATGATGACAAGAGTCACTGAATAACACACTTTGGTTCCTATAGTAGATGGAGCATATCAATACTCACATACACATTTAAATCAACAATATAAAGTGCATATGGATGTAATTTATTTTCTGACATTTAAATGCATGATGCAAGCTTTCATGTAAACCTCATATCTAAGAAGCTACTGTACCAGAAATAACAAAAGCAGCCAATTTTACACCACACAATATGGCAAACTGGATCACATTCTATGCAGCTTGGTATCCTATACACAGACATTGAAATTAAATTAAGTTATAAGAAAAAAGAAAGATAAAATATTTTTCACTCCATGTGTCTCAAAAATTATTATAAACATTGTCCTTGTCGCTTTTCCTCAGCAACTGTTCACAAGTATTGTGCAGTATTCCTGAAAGGGGGATAGGTACACAGCCTCACTAGACACTTCACACAATTATCATTCACATATTCTCTGTTAACCAAACATGTAAAATGTAATTTGTTGCCTCTTCCTGCTGTGATTCAAAGTAGCTCCAAGGTTTAGCCTTCTTTCATATGATGGAGGAACCCTAATTTTACTTCTTCAGTCAGACTTTTCACCAAGAGAAGTCAGACATTTCAATGGGAATGCTTCAACTTGTAGGCATGTCAACAAGTCAATAGCAAGTTGCTATTCAGTCACTCTTGTCGGTATATCCCATATGTGTATTGTAGCTCTACACAACTGTTGGATTCAGTGTTCCCATGTTCAGTTCGTTACTGAAGCTTCCTTCTGTTCATGGTTCATGCACGTTGGTATGTATACAGAAATCCTTCATTATTCATAATTTCATTTTACACAATTTAACTTACACAAACTGATACCATGGTGGATTAAGTAACTGCACTGTCTCTTTGTGTCTGCAGGCCTTGCAGCATCTAAAATTATATTACATTAGTTGACACAGCAAATGACATGGGAATTCCCAAAAAGACCCTTAGAACAATTAGGAAGCAAAGTGAAACAAATTAAGGTAACAAGGATAACACCAAGACCATATAAATTAAGTCACTGATAATGGAGAGATTTGAAAGAAGTGGATGGAGGCTAAACACTGATGTGGAATAACTCTATCATGTTCATTCAGACCAAGGAAAGGAGCCTGTTTAACATGCTGAATGTTTACTGACCCAGATCTGAAAGCGCAATCGATCCCTGCCAGTGCTGGGTGGTTCAAATATTTCAATGGATGCCATGGATTCCCAAACCTTAAGTTAACAGCAACAGCTGCTAATCCACTAACTTTGGACAGTCAAGTTCTGCAGTGAAGTCTGTCCAGCCTGATCTTCACCCCCACCAGCATGCCCAGGCTTACCTAGTTAATATGGTCTTATTATATTGGCATCAACACAAGTGAATGCTCATGGTGATCTGACTGTTGTGTTGATGGTCATATAATAATACCATGATACAAAACAGGATACATAAAATGAAGATCACCTGGTTAAATCTTTTTAAACTGTAAAAGCACTCATATCAATAAGAATTCATAGCAAGCAATTACTGTTAAATTTCTGCTTCACAACTGGTTTATAGCTGTGTGCAATGCTGATATTTTTCAGATGCAGCCTGTGTCCTTTCCTTGGTACACCATCTTGCTGTATGTCTGTCCAATACTTGTAAATTTTGATTCTGAAACATTACGATTCAGGTATACAGGGTGATTCACGAAGTTTTACCCCGCCTTATGGTACATATTCCTGGGGTTATTTCCTGCAAAATTTCCCTATAAACTTGTGGTCGATTTTCAATAGTTACGGAGTAACAATAGATTTTTGAAACGCAACACTGTGAATGCAGCGCTATGCTTCCCTCCTCGGCGACCTTGCAATCCAGTCAGCTGTGTCAGCAGACAAGGCAGACCGGCTAGCGATCCAGTAGTAAACAGGACGTTGTGTTGGTGACTTTGTGAAGTTAAGATGCTGTATACATTTTCCACTGAGGAATATGCCGATATGGTGTTTGTTTTGGGTGTATGTGATGGAAATGTGAGAGCCGCTGCTGCCGAATATCACCGGCGTTATCCTAATTGCAGGATTCCGAATCCTAAATCCATTAGCAGTACATTTAACACATTAAGACAAACTGGTTCTCCCCCCCAGCGTTTGTATACAGTATGAATGAAATCCTCAACATGAATTGTGCGAATTGCTAGTACAAGACGTCTAGCTCGGCGGTTCAGTGTTTCTCAGTCCATGGCGTAGAGGACTCTTCATGAGAACGGGCTGCATCCTTATCATTTACAGCAAGTACAACACCTACAGCCAGGAGACCGTGCTCTTCGCCTGCAGTTCTGCAACTGGTTAGATGGAAATCGGCAGTTGTACCGCTTGATAATGCTCTGCGATGAGGCACAGTTTACACGGGACGGGGTCAACAACAGTCACAACTTATATGTTGGGGCAGACAATAATCCCTGTGCCATGACAGAATCAAATTTTCAACACCGATTCAATGTCAATGTCTGGTGTGGTGTTCTGTATGATCAGCTAATCGGGCCGTTCATTTTTCCTGGCCGCTTAACTGGTGAGATTTACCTCCACTTCTTAGAAGAAGAATTACCATTTACTTGAAGATGTTCCTCTGGCAACAAGACGCTGGATGTACTTTCAGCATGATGGGGTGCCTCCTCACTTCTCGCGCACAGTAGCAGCTCACTTGGATCGGCATTTCCCACAGCAGTGGATTGGTCATGGAGGCTGTAACGCCTGGCCTCCCAGGTCGCCAGATCTAACACCGTTAGGTTATTGCATTTGGGGCTGGATGGACATTGTGTACCGGGTAAAGGTACAAACACGTGAAGTGTTGCTTGAACGTATTCTGGATGCGGCGATCACAATAAGGACCAAATGTGTGGAACTGTGAAGTGCTACGAGCGCGGTTCATATGCATGCGACACGTTGTGTTGACGTGCAGGGAGACATTTTTGAAAATCTTATGTAAATCCAGTCTTCTTCTAAAGCACTACAGTTTAAAGGAAACAGACTGATAGAAGGGTGTGATATGCAACCATTGGTATGTTTACAGAATGGGATGCTGAAAATAATGTAATTTTGTAACATAAAATCGATGAAAAATGTTGCACAATGCAAAATTAAGAAACTGAAAAAAAAAAAAAAAGATTTTAGAATGCTTCTTTCCTAAAACATTAACGATTTAAAGAGTGCTTGTATTGTATTTCTAATTTGTTTCGACTGAAATTCCAAGAAAAAAAAAGATCTTTTGCCAGTTTTCAAATTACTGTATCTTTTTAATTATGAGTTGGATACCATTAGTATATTAAAATCTTTTGTTCCAAATTACTTCAGGAATACCCTCCCTAATTGGGGGTAAAACTTCGTGAATCACCCTGTATAATGTTTCAAAATCACTTTCTAACTCATCCACCACTAAGTATCCAGGGGGGTTGTATAATTTAGCACAGGAATTAATCTTTCAATATGGCAAGAAGTCTCTTCAGTTTCCATTCAGTGAGTTTTCATCAATCTTCTCAGATTTTGCCACCATCAGACAAATATATGACAAGGTACGTCAAGTTTCATGGTCTTACTGTAAAATGGCATGTAGAATTGTTCAAATGTACACCAACATTCTTTCAATTTGTCTCTTGCATCATGTTCCATGATAGAATGCTATCACATCAGAACAAGAGGAACATGATGGTCCTTCTTCCTGCAGGTAATACAGGTCAGCCTACTCCACCAGCAGTCAGATAATTCCAGTGCAACATAACACACTGAAAAGAGTGAAATTTTATTGATAGAGGAGGGTTTCATTTTTCTTCACAAACTGAAGGAATCCTGTAAATATGTGAATGCCCGTTTTCTTCTTGCAGAGATCCCCACTTCATTGATTTCACATTGCAGCTCTTCTTGCTCATTGTCTTCTATGACTCAGCTTACCACATTAACTGGAATCACTGTCTGGAGCCCAGGGTCCCTTCCTTTTCAATAACAATTAGCACTACCGGAACACCTCTGTGGTCTAGTGCTCAGAGTTCCTGGCTAGAGATCCAGAGGTCTAGGTTCGATTCCCGGCACTATCATATTTTCTGAGATGTAGTGGGTCTGGAAGAGGGTCCACTCAGCCTTGTGAGGATAACTGAGGAGCTATTTCATGGAAATAGTGGCTCTGGTCTAGAAAACCGAAATTAACGGCTGTGGGGATTCATTGTACTGACCATGCAACACCCTCTATCCCCCAAAGTTGGCACTAATTTTGCTGACAAGCGGAAGTTGCTCGGCCGGTATAGTTTGCTTGCAGACCAGAACTATATTTTTTTTGTTTCATTAGCACTACCAAGTTTCCTTCTGGGAGGCATGATTTGGTGTGAAGTGCAACACCACGCTACTGATCCATTTAATGTAAAACAAAGACAACCTCTCCACATAGTTTATGTATTCAGGTACAAACGATATAAACAATAAAAAGGAAACTGTCTTAGCATTTCAAAATATGAATTCATGCTGAAATATGTAGCTAAGTCACTATGTTGTGAACAAGAGAACATGAAGTATGAAAATCTCATAAAGATATTGGTTGCACTATAGAGTGCATAAGTATATGAACCATGAACATCTACTCCACAGGTGCCCATGCAGGGCATGTTGTGTGCATCAGAGGTATCAATAATGCCAACGTCATAGAAACACCTACCACCAACGACCACAATGGCTGACAATCAAACATCAAGCTTCTGCTCCAACAAAAACATTCAGGATAACCCCATATCAAACCAAAGATAAATCAATAAACCAACAAAACTGTAAGTAACATCTGATATGCACACAGAATATACATAAACATGTCCCTTAAAATAAAACTCCAATAAAACCCATCACATATTACAGAAAAGCCAAGATGTCCATGGCAACAGCATGTTAACCCACATAACCTAGAATAAGTCTGAGGTAATTACATAAGAAAACAACAGCATTACAGTGAGCAGCGAATTCCTTCATCACAACAACCAGCACACCTGATGAAGGCCGGTTGGGCCAAAACATGTAGTAATATACAATAAAGAGAAGAGTGAATATCAAGCAACACTGCACATAGGTGGCAAAAAGTGGTATGCAAAGTCAGAATGCATTGAATATTTACACTTTCTCCACTTCTGCATAGTTGTGGAACATTATAATGAACCTACTGAAAATGTCTTGCATCCAGGCACAAGATGGTGTCTCAAAGCTTGTGGAACAAAATAAGTTACCCTATTTCCTGCCCTGAACACTCCCTAATAGTGTATCAAATTCAGTCACATCTATAGCTGAGGATTATTACAAATGTCTGAAATGAAACCCTTGGGTTCTTGGACAAAATGCTGCCTACCACAGATATGAATGCTGGATTGCAAAGAATAATAATCCTGGTTGGGCAATGAAGCTGTGGCTCCTTCATTTCTGGTGATCAGTTGTCAGCTGTTAGGCAGTAACACTGATCCTGGTACACCAACAAAAAATCCCACCATGTCAAGGGACGTGGAAGGGAGAAAGGTTATTGTTTAGCAATGAAAAGGTACAAAACTAGCTACAGCTCTGTATATAGAACATGTTTTAGTGATTTGCAACTGCATATAGATCTCTTTGAGTCATGTGAAGTGAGATACTGTATTGTCAGAGTGCACTCTATTTGTAACACATACTACTGGGAAACTTGATAAAATGTTTTTACAGCAAATAACTCTTCCATGCCATAAATACCCGTAAGTGCTATTTATGTTTGTACCTCTTACAAAAAGTTTTGTCAATGTTCCTGCACTAAGACAGAACAGATTCCCAACCTAAACAAAGGAGGGTTGCAAAATGACATCAAAACCATTCACACATATTTGTTTGTTTTTAAAGTAAGGGCTTGCCACTGTCACACAAGTCTGAAATCCATGGGGACCCTTAATACTGCTTCTATTCAAGCTTATCTCACCAGATAGGAGTTCATACTTAGTATGAACAGTGCAAGTCTGGACTAATACAAAGCAACACACATCATAATTCAACTCATCCCATTAAAATGCATATCGAATAGCAAATACACTTAAAAACAAAATTTAAGTTTGCCTTCATGATCCATACAGCAATCTTTGACAAAATTAGCATTTGCAATACACAACTGTTACTGCAATGCCTCAGGCTCCACTACACTACTGTCAGAGGCCACGTCATCAGTTCATTCTAAACACCTGTGATGTGTGATATATATAAAAAATGAGGAACCTCAAATTAAACCATAAGGAACACTACCTGAAAAACAGTTATTTATAATTGTGTCTTGGCTTGTTATTTCTTGTATGTGCATGTGCGCACACTATATTCTTTCTTCACAAAAATTTCATCACCTTCAATAGTACTCAAACACAATCAAAATAAAGAATCAATCATTGCTTTAAGCATTTCACACTACAGTTGAACCCCCTTTCAATTTTCCTTAATTTAAGGCTTTCCATCATTTTACATTAAATTTCAATGCTTCCAAGTCAATAACACATCTTAAATTACCTCCATTCAAGATTTAGTCAGTTAAGTGTCCAAATCTACAGCTCCAAAAACAAACTTTATATGAGGATTTCATTATATTTTAGTCATCAACTAATACTGTCAACTCACCACTACTGTTCATCTCCGACATCTCTGAGGTTGTCATAACTGGAGTAGATAACCCTATGGAAGAAATGTTCTGTGTCCAGTGAGATACCCAGTATACCGATCTTGTTTCCCATCATGTGTTTAAAACATTATAGTAACTTATTAATGCCAATATAACGATCGCTGTTGCTATCTGATGACGACACAACATTAAAGATGTTTCAGACAGTATACAACTAATTCTCATAGCCAAGTTTTGCTTATTTTGAGATATTTGGAATTTAAAATTCATACACACTTCACCAAACAAAATTTAAAATCCCATCCCAAGGCTAAACAGCAAAATATTTAATTTCAAAGTTTTGATCAAAATCTATCTGCCTGCAAATATTCTATCATGGTATGAACTTTATGCAGTTATCACTGGAAAGGAAAGATGTGTAACTTGTAGTACTCTGTTATTTAGAAAGAGATGCTTAATATTTATTGCAAATAAAACATTTTGTAAAAGCTACACTATGAACCTAAATACACGCACATGTATGCATACACACGTTCGTCAAATGAGCTTGTGTAAATAAGCAGTAACTTATCAAAAACTGACTGAAAATAAGCAGCAATGTGAAATCAATTCAAGATTCTTTAATTTTATACACTAAATGGTATATTGTGGGAGCTGGGATAGCGACAGGCTGAATGTTGAGATTTGATTCCCAGAAGAGGCATGAAATCTTTCCCCACTCCTCTACAGCATCCAGACTGGCTGTATGGCCTATCCTGTCGGTAATGGGGAGGGTGGGGGGCTCTTTCCCCAGGGGTAAAGTAGCCAGTGCATGAAGCTCACAGCTCATCCAGTACTACAGTCCAGAACAAAGCTTCCACTCCCCCACATTCCTTCATGGTGTGGTAATTAATTAAGCACAGGGAAAACTTAATATTGCATGCCTTATTTTTTTCAAATGCTATTATTCAAAATTGTCCAAACATTAGTATTTCACTCATTATAACTGCATAATGTGCATGACAACTATGAATACTTGTTAAAAACTTTTAAATTATCCTTTACAAAAATCTCACAAAACAAGCCTCAGTGCTCTCTAAAACTGATAAAAAGCTTTCCCCTTATGGCACCTCTTCCTTCAAGACACAATGTTCAGGACCATTTTTCTAAATGTTGGCCAAGCCACAAACATATTCAGGATGAAACTGCCCAGTAACAAAAAGAGTCTCATCAACAAAGTGCAAAGAAACATTACAAAATAGCTCAGGAAAGGTTAAACACTACAGAGTGAAATATAACATCGCATCACTCACACAATCATATCCACTATGTCAAGATTCCATCAAGTCCCCACACATACATCACAACTGCAGCGATCATTACCATAACATTATATGGGATTCAACCAACTGAATGTGTAATAGCAAAATAATATTTCTCTCTCTTGGAAAAAGTATGTAGGTTGGCCAACAAGAAGAACCTGTGAATGTCAGAGCAATCAAATACTGAACAAATTACAACCAGTTACAAAAAATTCCACCACTAAAAATATATAAGCACTGTCATCCAAGGTCTGATTGCAAGTTCTTGGTAAGTTTGAATTTAATAAAACTTACACTGTATGCATTCATAATGCAGGTACACTTTACAACACACATACATACACACTCACACACACATGGTGAAGTCCGTTCATGTTGATATCAACTGGAAAAGAAAAGCAAAAGCTTATCAATTTATTTCAACACATACAACAGTTATGGCAGTGTCATGAAAATCAAATGTGAAAAAATATAAATTTTTTCTGTGTACAACTTTTGCAGTTTACTATTAAGCTCTAATTTTCCTATACAAGAATATGATTCACACAGAAACTTAGAAACCTGTGCCAAACTGAAATTAAGATATATATATAACTATGTATTACAGGATGGCAGACAGCTTCATAGAATTGTAAACTTACTGTTTCAGAAATCTCTGCCTTGTTATTACCACACATTACATATTTAATATCAACATTTTATTTCAGTAAAACTTCTTATCCCAAAGTCAAATGGTGTAGCTGGTAATAGAGGCTGTAGTTAGTTAGTTAATTAGAGAGGGTGGGTTTACCCATGCACCGTGACCAGTTTGATCTATTGTGCTTCCCTCTATCATATTCTACCAGTCTCTACACCCTACCGATAAATGGTGCGTACCATCAGTCCCGCCGAGCAAGCGAGTTCNACGAGTCATGAGGTGGGAACGTTACCTCTAGACTACAGAGGCCGCTAATAGAGGCTGTAAGTTCATTCCTCAAATCACAATGATCTTTACAGTATAAGGCCATATAAACTACACTTTACTATATCATTCTATGAACTCAGGTATACTTACACCTATACCAAGACCTTACACACCAACTTCCCAATCTAGCAACAATTTTCACTTACCGACTTCACAGTTGTCTTAATGAAATCCTTCTTATGGGCCAAATCAAACTCTGGATAATGAGCATACACTTGTTTGCAAACAGTTTTCATTGTGATCTCTTCCAAATTTGCACCCTCTAGAATCTCCTTGACGTATGTCTTGATTTCATCATCCTAAAATCATTACCACACATACACACACACATATATTCATAGTTACCACTTTTGGTCTCACATCTGATTGGTGGTCACATAAGTGTTTTCATATGTAGGGGACTGTATCCAACTTTGGTCGGATAGCAATGCACATGAATATTTCCCATTCAGACGATTATATAGCATAGCATAGCTGTTTGCTATATACATAAGATGGCATATGCATCAATATTTCCAAGACCATAAATATCATGTAATAGTTCTCTGTCTTTCCTCATGCTTTACTGTTTCAATAAGCACACAGTTCCCAAGAGTGTCTGCTTGTGTCTCGTGTTTTAAACAAAGCACACATCATGGCAAGCAAGAAGATACTGTGTGAGGATCGTACAGGATGGCAGGATCCAGTATTTGATTTAGTATTAATTATTCAACCATGCCATGAACAACATTTTGTAACATGGTGACACAGTACATCATGGAAATTAGTTTTCTTTTATTGCTAGTGGGGAGTGATTAAGTCCCTTTTACTGCGGCCACTTCTTGCCTATTGTGAGGGTGATTGTGGAGCAATTGATGGAATGAAGATTGGCAGGGGAAACCAAAGTACTCGGAGAAGACCTGCCCCAGCGCCAATTTGTCCACCACAAATACCACTTGACGAGACCCGCCGTGGTGGGAAACCAGCAACTAACCGCTTGAGCTACAGCATGGCCGAGATTAGTGCTTACTCTTACTGAGTGCGCTAGTGTCATGCTGTTTCTGTTCATGTGCCAGTTTATACAAAATGAGTGACAAAGGAATTTGTCTGTAGAACAATTTATAAAATCAGTTTACTGAAACAAGAATTGCTGTGGTCACACAGAGGTGGTTTCATGCCCATTTTCAAACATGATGGGCACCTTCATTCCCAAAAAAATCCATAAACTATATAATCAGTTTAATAATGATAGCTCAGTGCTGGAGAGGAAACATCGCCAGCCTTCATCTGCGCATTCTCCGGAGAACAAATCAACAAACAAGGCTGCAGCACAACTTGGGATATCCAGACAATCAATGCAATGAATACTGAAAAGTGAACTGAATTCGTATCCATATAAAATGACAGTGATTCTTAAACTTGCAGTTCAAAACAAACATCAAAGCAATATTTGGTTTTCTGGTGAGGCACGCTTCCTCTTGGATGTGGTTAATAAACAAAATGTGCATGCAATTTTGGGTGTCATAGAATCCATATGTGATTCATGAGAAGATGCACCATGCACTTAGAATTACAGTGTGCACTGCCATCTCAAGTCATGGACTGCTAGGGCCAATATCCTTTGAAGAGACAGTGAACAGTGAGTGCTATTTAAGCATGTTTTGCAATACTTTTGTGTCTCACCTTCTTGCTATAACCTTAAAGTACACATCAATAATGCAACAATATAACAGTCATCAAGAATATGTTACTCAATAAAATGTACTTTAATACTTTATGATGTTAAAATCATTAAAATGTCAATAGGACATTAAGAGTATATTTTATATATTAAGTGATTATCAAAATTTCTGAAATGTCTCTAGTTTTACATGTATTTTTTCTAGTTTTACGACATGTTTTGGCCTCACGTGGGCCATCATCAGGCGATTTTTCTTTTTGGGGAGACCACCGCACTGTTCACTTGTTCACCGTGCTCCCATGCATGTCAATGTTTAGGTCAATCTCATGACTAGTCATTTCGCTCTTTTGCAGCTACTGGTAGTTTTTGTGTGTCACTAGTGCGGTCTTTCTAGATAGTCTTAGTATACTTTTAGTGCCCTATTGATATTTTAATTATTTTAACATCATAAAGTATTAAAATACATTTTAGTGTGTGACACATCCTTGATGTCTTTTATATTGTTGCATTATTGATGTGTACTTTAATATATAAGGCTAATGACTCAATGCAACAGGATACTAAAATATAAAAATATAATATTCTTGCTATAGATCTGCTGTTACAAACTCAGTGGTTCATGCAGGATGGAGCCAGGCCACACACGGCGTGTTTTGGACTTTCTGCATGACAATTTTGACTCGCATGTCATCTCAAACTGATTTCCTGACTGTTTTACATGTGGACAGAACTGGCCCTTGAACAGTCCCCATTTAAACCCATGTGACTAATTACTCTGGGGATTCCTTAATGAAAAGATTTTTTCCAAAAATAATAATGGAATTGAGAGTAATAATCATTCAGTCCTGCAACGAGATATGTGAGGATATATTGCCATCGAGTAATCAGTATCACAGTTTCTGTTGAAGAAGCTGCCAGACGTAATGGTGGTCATACTGAACACCTCATTCACAGACGATAAATCTCCATGCAATGGTCTTTCTTTTTGTATGTCAGTTTATAGTATTGTAATTGAAATAGATATTTTATTAGTAGATCAAATACTGGATCACTTCAATAATAACCTCTATATTGGAAGTGAAGTGTTTAACGAAGATTCAGAAGACTAATTCCAGAATCTGATTCCAGTGAATCAAGCATGAATGAAGGCCTGACTATCCAGAAATTGCCTTGATAACTAACGTTACAGATGAGGCCACATCTAAAACATCACCAAGCTATGTCCGCCTCTTCTACCATCTACAGCAAACGCAGGCCTGAATACTGACATCTGGAACACTGATGTTATATCTTTTGTGAACTTATTTATTACAAATAATTTTCTTGAGTATGTCTGTGACCAAACTAACCTGCATGCTAGCCAAGTGATTAGTACTACACCACGCCCTTCCACAAAACATTCACATTTTCAGACAAACCTTTAGTAACAGTGTCAGAACTGAACAAATTTTGGGGGTCGAAGTATGTGACTGGGATAATAAATAAATCTACTCTGGCTGCACAACCCACTCAAAATTGCACACTATGGCATTATGGTCATGACAGTGTGCGATTCAGTGTCAGGATATATATTTATACACTGTGGTATATGATGCCAGTAATATGACACTTGAAGACATAGTTTTTCAACTTCTGAACCTCTATCTATGAAAGGGGTACAGAGTGTACATGGACAATTACTACAACATTGTCTGCATGGCAAAACAGTTGCATGAACAAAGTTTATGTGTCTGTGGAACAATTACACAAAATAATGGGATACCATGTGACCTCAAAGATCACCAGAAGACCCTCAAGCAAGGTGAAATGACATTTTGGAGGGACAGGGAAGTGCTCTTTTTGTCATAAAAAGTAAAGGTATCTCTGTAACAGGCCATGGAGGCACATAGGGTTGTGATATATTGAGGTTCCCACACTTTCTAGGCAATTGGCTCTTAGATGGCAGAAGAATATTCCTGGTACTCATTTCTGTTACAGGCTGAGTCGACCCCAGGGCCACTGTGTGGATGGAAGGATTAGGCCAATTGAAAAAAATCCAATGACCTAATCGGGACTTGAACCTGCGACTTTCTGGCTTGTAGCATACTGCCTCAACCAAGTACGCTACCGTGTGCCCCTTTCTTTTGTCGTAGAGGACAAAACAGTCATAACCATAATAGTATCTAATGTGCATCCTGCTGAAATGCCTCAAATGTGAAAACAATTTGGCAGGAAGCAGAACCCAGAATGTGCGACTGATTATAATACATTTATACACAGTGTGTACAATGCAGTCCAGTACCCTTTGACGAGGAAAACTGATGAGTCCAAAGAAAGTGCTTTTGTCTTCTCCAGTGTGCACTATTTAATACCTTCCAAACCATTTGTAAATGCAAATCCAGAAGGACGGGATATCTGGATTTCATGAAAACTGTGCCCTGTAGCTTACTTCTGGTAAGTGAAAAGGAATTATCCAATATTCCTCCATAACCTGAAAGCATGGAATCAGCTTCTACTGCATCTTCAATGCAATCTCCAGATGTTTTCCACCAAATAGCTCCCATAAAGGACCCATCATTTCAGTTATATGGCAAGAAAAAGGATCGTGTCTTGCTGAAATTTCCAGCAATGAGGGGTTACAATAGTCTGACAAGACGATGTACAATTTGTTCAAAGAAACAAGATAATTAGTGAAACTCGGCGGTACTGTCGAAAGTGTGATGTTCCTCTACATCCTGAGAAATGTGGTACCAGGTACCACACTCTGAGTGTACTAAAACATCTCCAGAAGGTATATACAAATTTTCATATTCCTGTGTATCATATTTTATGAGCAGAGTGTTTCTGGATTTTGGTGGTAAATGAACGCATTTAAAGTACCCTGACATTTAAAAATCCTGGGCTGGGGATTTCAATTGCTCACTGACAGGTTGGTAGTGAGCAGTGAAATACCTAAATTATATTAATTTCCCAGGCTTACATTCTTTATCACTGTTCCAAAATATTATTTACCTATCTGTAGACCAATGTTAAACCACAGCAGAATCTCATTCACTTACACTTCATTATATCATTCATTTCATATTAGAATATGTTTCAAATACTGATCCTTTTTCCCATCTGATTTTAGAATTGCTCCAATTCTGTCTTCAATGTATGGCGGAAGAAATTAATTTATCAGTGTTCCAGGTTCATGTCCTGTAGGAACAATGATTCTGAGATGGTATTTCCTCACTGCCAGGAGAATTTTGATTTACAAACTGATGCTGAGAAGCATATTAGTAATAATACTGTCACGTGTTTCCTATGTGACACGACAAATAACTTCACTCTGCTTTGGATTTAGCGAATATTTATTGTACGCTTTTATCCACACTTACATAATACACAGTGTCACATTTACTCCTTCTGCTATAGTCCTTCCACATTAAAACTGTACTCGGCGACTGTCAGTCTTCAACTGAACTCCTTAGGCATTCCAGTTACTCTTATAAACCCTTAGTCTGACAGCGGAAAACACACCTCGATTCACTGTTGCATAATCACTGTATTTACAGAGGTGTTGCTGGGTAATGCTACTGAGAGATGTTTACTGCAACGCTGCGTAGCAACCAGCGCGCTTCGGCTCGGCATAGCACGGACAAACACCGCTTTCCTTACTGTTGCGTAACCTCATTCCATATCCCATTGCCCAACAACGGTTTGACATCACACTGCTCTCTTCTTAAGGCTGTTTGTCACGAATAGCCTAACAGTGCATCACTGGTCCTTTCCTTCCAAGGTTGTACTTGCAATGTCTTCTTTTTGTCTGGCTCGATGTTTCTTTTCTTCCTCTTGTCCGTTCTCCAACCACTACATCCGCTCTCTCCTTAGGACCAGCTCATCTTGAGCAGATTACTGCTACCGTGCCAGGAGACCCAGTTTATCACATTCATCAGAAGTGCTTCCTTTCTCTCTCTCACTATCTTTCACTCATTCTAGCTGGGGAGGCCGGTGCTTCTATATTACTGGTTCCTCCTCTTACGCTAATGTTGCTTCTTTTTCTGCTTCAGAGGCGGCCTAACCCTCCACATGGTCCAATTCATGTTCTGTTGCTCCAGAGGATGCTGATACCTCCTCAGTGTCGATTATTTCACCTTCTGAAACCCACCAAACATCCTGTTGCTCTCTTCACGAATTTCAGGTCTAGTGCCTTCTTGAGAGTTTTACAGGCCGGTCCTATTTTTCCCAGAGGTGATAGCTGTCTTGAGCTGCACCCTCCAATACTGATCGCGGTTGCTCTCCTCTTTCTCTCATATAGCGGCTGCTTGCCGCCTCGGTCCTTAATTCCATTTTTGCATTCAGGTCTCGTTTGATATCTCCTCCCAAGCATCCGTTCTTTCGGGGCTCCTAGTACCACACTGCCATTGTTTCGTCCGTAACGCCTGTGTCCCGCACAGCATGTAATCTTCCTCATGGCTGTGGTTACTTCTTTCCGTGGTCCACAATTTTTTCTGAAGATGTTCCTCTTGCACCATGCCACTGTTGCATGGCGGGACACTTTCCTGCAAGTGGCAGCCAACTTCATCTGGGATCCACAATCTCCTTGGTCAGTTTCTTCGGCTCCCCGTGTCACCCTGCAACTTGCTTCTTGCCCCTATGGCTCCTATTCCATCCTCTGACCGGTTTCACTACGGCATCTTCGTTGGGGACTTTGTCTTGTTGTACCACCTCAGGTTTTGTTTCCACTGAGGTTGGCCCTTTCTCTTCTAGGCGTGTCTCCATCGTTTCTTTGCAGGTCATCGTCTCTTTTCGGGTAATCGACATCATTTCTTCCACAAGCTCCTTAAGCTTTACAACTGTTTGGGCATGGTTTGCGGTCATCATCTCTTTCATCATTTCTTTTAGCTCTCTTCCTTCGGCTTGCCTATCAGACTCTGGTTTGGTTGGCCTTCCTGTCTTCTCAGTTGCTTTTTATTTCTTCTTGGATGGCTTTCCTATGGGCATCTAATTTTGCCAGCAGGCATTCCATCATTTTTTCTATCTCCATAGTGCGGCAGTATAACACACTCATAAATTCAATTATTTGTTTTAAATTGAGGCGTGTTTAAGTTTGTATCCCACTTCTGTAATATCAGTTGTCACATGTTTCTCATGTGACACGACGAATAACTTCACGCTGCTCTGGATTTGGCAAATATTTATTGCACACTTTTATCCTCACTTACACAATTCAGTGTCACATTTACTCCTCCTGCTATAGTCCTTCCAGACTTCAATTGTACTCGGCAACTGTCAGCCTTCAACTGACCTTAAGCATTCCAGTTACTCTTATAAACACTCAGTCAGACAGCAGAAAACGCACCTCGCCTCACTATTGCGTAATCACCATGTTTACAGAGGCATTACTGGGCAATGCTGCCAAGTGATGTTTACTGCAACTCTGCACAGCAACCAGTGCGTTCGGCACGGCACGGACAAACACCACTTTCCTTACTGTTGCATAACCTCGTTCCATATCCTGTTGCCGAACAATGGTTTGACATGTCACAATTCATTTTGATGCAGTTTATTCCTAAATACATTGTTTTCTGTACCATATTCTAGTAATCAGGAGATTAAAAAAAACAGACGACACTGAACTACCAGAGATATAAATCTGAAAAGCTACTTTAGATTTTGCAAACAAGCTTGGCTAACAGGTATTGTGCAGGCCTCGAATGTTTTGGTCTGAATGTGTTAAAAGATACAAGTGAAGCACGATGAAAAACAACAAGCTATATCACCACCAAAGATACTGTAAGAGAAGACTGGCTACATTACTTTCCTTTCTCTCCTAAAATAAATCATTCAATAGGATGCATATTACATGCCCACTCATTCAACATGTAATATACACTGTGACTGGTTACCTCCCACTACACTGGGAACCCCTGATAGTGGCCTCTATGGATTCTCTGAATGATTTCGCTACCATTCCCAGTGGCAAACTTAGAAAACTGGAAAATCATAAAGGGGAAGTTAAATTTTATTCAATAGTATTTATTCATAGTGCATTTATTTCAAGAGGAACCCTCTGAACAATACACCCAAAACAGGGGAGAAGTAAACAGCAAAGCCCAAAATTTTCTTTTATATGGTAAAGGTAAAGTTGTCCTTGCACCTAATAAAGCATTATACCATACTGGTACATGATGGGAGAGCATGTATAGCTCTACACATTAACCTTGGCACTAGATGGAGGTGAGTGATGAGCTTCATGCCCCATTTACCTTATTCCCAGGGAAGGAACCCTTGATACCCACTGGATAGGAGGCTGGGTGGGCCCGACTGTAGGGACAATGTGGAGAGGAGAAATACTTCCTGCAGATGCCTGGAACTGAACCGATTCCTTGGTTATCCTGCCTGTAGCCTTAATCATTATACTGAATGAGCTACCAAGAAAATTATCTTGTGCACTCAACGTCTCACAACCCTATGGGCCTTCATGGCCTGTTACAGAGACAGCTTTACTTTTACTCATATTGTACATGCATGTTTTATAAAAAACTTTTCAGAAGCTTCAGTGGCTTAAAAAAATCCTCTTTCTTTGCTACTCTTGTAGCTGAACACATCAGCAGAACTCCTGAGTCCAGGCTGGCTATTATTCTTTCAATAAGGCTTCCAGTTTTGTAACATCACATTAGCAAATGATTTTTCATCTAATACACTTGTACAATACTATCCCTTGTTCATAATTCAATAAACGCCGTGCACTGTTCACTACAGAAATGCTGATTCAACCTGCACATAGTGAAAAAGTACAGGACTGGTCCTATGGTCCACATTAAAACTTGGCCTTTCTGCAGAGGTTATCTCCAGTCATTCTTAAGCTGTAGCACTAAATACTGGCAACTGGATAGGGATACTTTACCCTGGGGATAAAGGCCCTTGGTACCCACTGAAAAAGAGAGTGGGTGGGCCCCCAAGGCTGGTCTGGACATTGTGGAAATAAGAAAAATTTATTCTAGTATGATCGTCATTCAGCCCATAGCCTAATCACTATACTACCTGAGTTAACCAATCTACAGTGAACCTGTCTCATGTGCAGGATATCTCCACAAATCATGAAGATATTTTCATCTTGTTAACTTCATTCTGTGTATCAGCCATGAAAAACACTGACATTGTGTGCGCTGCAAATATTTAAATACAGTAGAACTTGGTTATAACGTCATCAAAGGGACCTAAAAATAGTGTCATTATAAACGAATGTCGTTGTAACTGAAATGGGCACTTCCACAGTAGCCTTATGTTAGTCACGTAAAAATCTACCAAAAACCGAGTTAAAATGTTGCATTTTTTAGTGAAATACGTAGTTACGTACAGACTAACGTAACATTAACGTGGAATTGCCTAAATGTGTAATATCAAAGACATATTACAGCGCTTTTCACTGACAATACACACGGCACTAATACTGTATATTAAAGGTAGGCCTACTCACCAAATTACAGTAGATTACATCAATTGTTGTGCCTTACTGTACCTAGATACGAGTACAGTAATCAGTCATCTTCATCTGTTTCCTGTTACTTTCCCAATACACACTTTCTAAATTACGTTCAATGTCCATATCAGAGAAATTCAGGAATGAAAATGATGTTACATACAAGGTTGATGCATTTGTGCATGTCTTACTAAGCAAGGTATAAAAACAGTTGCTTTATGAGGAATTAGTTCGTACCATTGAATATTTGACGCAATAGACAAGGTTTCGCAGAAACCGATGTTGCTATAACCAAGTTTTACCGTATTATCATCACAATACAAACTCCCATCAAAGACCCAAACATAATCAATACTTAATACTTGCAAGGGGGAGGGAAGTGACCACCCCTGCAATCTAGTGGTCAGAGTTCCTGGCTACAGATCCAGAGGTCTGGGTTCGATTCCCGGTGCTATCAGATGTTTTCTGAGAAGTAGTGGGTCTGGAATGAGGTCTGCTCAGCCTCGTGATGATAACTGGGGAACTATTTCAAGGAAATAGCGGCTCCGGTCTAGAAAATCGATACTAACGGCCATGGGGATTCATTGCGCTGATTACGCGACACCCTCTATCTGCTGAAGTTGGCATTAACTTCGCCGATAAGCAGCAGTTGCTTAGTCAGTATAGTTCGCTTGTGGACTTAAACCACGGAGTTTGTTTTTTTGTTTGTAAGGGGGAGGGTAGAATGACTGGGGGCTTGTCTTGTCAGTGTTTGCAAAGTGAAGGGGTTAAAATACTAATACATACCGTTGGAGGTGCCTTTGCCTTTTTTGAAAGAGGTTCATCTTCAGATGAAGAGTCATCACTCTTGCTACCAGATTTCCTCTTCTTAGGAGCTGGTTTCTTTTCAGCTTTCTTGTTTGGAGTTTTTTTAGTGGTAGCTTTCTTTGTAGATGCTTTTTTTGCATTAGATGCTGTAGTCTTACCACCCTTCTTCTTAGATTTTGGCTCCTATACAAATCAGAAGCCAACTTGTTAAAGAGAACATTATATTGCGGCTTATTTACACCATGCGTGAGCTGTTGAGCCACAGAGACCTGTGGGCATGGTATAAAAAAAAAGTGTTTTCCCTGTGCTGTGCCACACTGCACTTGCTGCTATGCAACAAAACACTTCTTTTCAAGAAAATATGCTGCTTCCTGTGCATTCTCAGTGGGGAGGCTATATAACAAAATTCCAGGAATAACCAGGGCAGTATTTGAGAGTGTTTAAGTGTCTAAGTAACAGTGAGAGTGTTTTAAGTGACAGCCATGTGAAGTTCAGAGAAGACCTGCCAAGATTTAAAGTGTGATCAGCAGACTGTGTTTATGTGTAATACTGGGAGTGTGATATCCAGTGAGACTGTTGTAGTGAAGACTGCGAATCCTAGCATGCAAGCAACAGTGAATTATGAAGGGTGTAAATCAGCAATAGCGCTGTAATTTAAATGTGATTACGAGAGGTTGTAACCAAGGTGCTAATAAATCTAATCATGTGAACTAGAACTAGTCATTCTCATCACGCACCCCAGCCTATATGTGACATGTTAACATCACAAATTTTATCGGAATTCTCAGTGTTGACAATACTCCAGTTCATACTCTGTTGTATCTGTAAACTTTCTGCTGAATATACTACAATTTAACAATGTTCGTCATCCAGTTCCTTTCACTGCATGCACAACTGTTACATTAAGCATTATGGGGAAAAGTATGATGCCTAAGTTGGAGGCAATAATTGACTGTCTCATATTTACTTCATTTACATATAGTACCAAAGTATGTTAATTTTAAGTGTACGAAGCGCTCAAACTACATTAAGATTTGATGGTGAGGGAAAGAACAAGTTTCAGCAGAGAGTCTGTATGTCAATATTGCCACTCCCTCATTTCTACTTGTACTGCGCATATGATCATTGGGGAGGAAAGGGGTATAAGGAACAGAGTGACAGTTCTACTGTGTTTTAGTGCAGATAATAGTGAAAAACTTCAGCCTTTGATTGCCAGAAAAGTCTGAAAAATCATGTTGCATGAAAAGCTTAAAGAGCTATCCTTGCAACTGAAAATCTTCTATGAATGCATGGGTAACTGGAAGACTAGGGAGTGGCTGATCTCTTTTGAAAGCAAACTGGCTGTCCAGAACAGGAATGTCCTTTTAATACAGGATCAGTGTTCTGCTGTTGCCAACAAGGAGCAAACTCTGAAGAATGTATGCCTGTTGTATTTGCCACTGAACACCACCAGTTACATGCAGCCACTGGACTGGGGTATCATCTTCTGCATGAATTGTATGTATTGAAAGTGTCTTGTCACAAATATCACCAGAAATGTTACTGCAGCAGACATTAGGAAATGGAGTATTTTGGATGCCATGTGCACTGTTGCCTGCCATGCAACAGGAATCCATCATGCCTGTAGTTATTGAAAACTGCTTTGCAAAATGTGTTTTGGCAATGTACGTGAAAGTTCTGAAGATGAAGGAAACAAGTTGGTGGAATTCCTAGGTCAAATTAATTGTCCAATAAACTTGAAGAGTTTCTCAATGTTGACAAATTGATCCCAATCACCAGAAGACAAGTTTGTACAGTCCTAGCTATAAGCATGTGGCAACAGTGGTGGAAACTGAGAAGAGATTATAGAGGAAATGCATTCACTTCCAGTGCACCCAGCTTGCAAAGATGCATTAATGGCCTTGTTGTTGTCAAACTCTAATAAGATCAAGCGACACTGATGACAGAATCATTAAAGTTATTCAAGATTTTGTATCAAGAGCATAAAAGAACACTCTGAAACAAAGGTTAATTGAGCCATACTTTAAGCAATAAACTAGGATCAAAGTCTAACAAATAAGAATCTTTGTTTGCAGGCTTGCATTTTTATGTAAATTGTATTGAATTATGTAGTACACGTTTAAATAAATAAACAATAATGACAGCTTATGAATTAAATACAAAAATCACAGCTTACAACATAACATCAGGACTTCAAATACCCAATTTACAGGTTACATCCTCACTGAAAAAAAAATTGCTTAATTTGAACTCCAATTTTCCAGTTCTGAGCACGTTGAGTTAATAAGGTTTTACTGTATTTAGGACTGAACATGGATATTTGCACTATGCATTTTTTTCTCACTGAGGCAGTTTCTTAAAAGTTTTCATAATATATCAATGTCCCTTAAAACATGGTGCCTATAACACATGAATGCATCACCTCACCACATTCACCAAGTATGTTCCAGAAGCAGCTTAGTGTTTGGTGTACCGAAACTACGAATAATTTGCTTACTGAAAACTATCAAACAATTAAAAATTCTAGAATGGAATCAAAATAATGTCCAAATTCTGAATGATTCATTCACTACTTTCTGAGAATTATTCAATGGCAAGAATAATTTTATAGCACCCATAACAAAAGAAGCCACTACATTTCTGTAAGAGGGAACAGCATGTACAATATGAAATGCTATTTTGTAAGGCATAAACAGGGATTAGTAGATGGGAACTGATCTGCCAGGCGTGACCTTTAGGTGAATGGTATGAGCACATTAGGATATGTTTCCTTGGTGAAATGACAATTCTTTGAAGGCTCCTTTGTTATTCCTACGATGTATTATGCATTGGTAGCACTGCAAAATATACATTTATGTGAAGCCAAAAATGAAACAGAACATGACTCGTGGCAGAATTTTATGGGTAGTGGGGAGAGACAGAACTCATTTTAAAAACTGAAAAATTTTGATGTGCTTAAATAACCACAAGGTACATAAAAATTGACTCCTTGCCAGAGACCATGTCAACAATTCTGAACATCACATGATATTAACAGTATTCTCTTAGAAGCCTGGAAAATAATATACAAATTTCAGAACTCAGGAAAAACTTACATCTTCATCACTACTGGCTGGAGTTTCATTCTCATCAATATCTTCTTCACTGTCCTTTTCTTTGTCAGATTCTTTTGCCTTTCTCCTGTCACGAGAGCTGCGTTCCTTCTCAGACTCAGACGATGAATCTTCCTTCAGATTTGCTCGTTTTGACTTCCCACGTCGTGATCTTGTTGGGCGTTTCTCTTCATCTTCTGATCTGTTAAAGCCATAACATTTGCAACATGGATCTGCATCGGTAATACAGGAAGCATCTACCAAGCTTTAACTAGATATACTGGGCCATTTGCCAAGTACACTTCACTAAAAAATTACAGCAACTTATAACTAGTCAGTACAGACTCTTGTAATAATACACATTAACTACAGTGGAAGGTACAATGAAGGAGTGAAAAAATGATGCTACAATGAACACTCATTACAGGATGTTTACAATCTAAATATACATAAATCAAATAGCAAATATTTGCAGTCATCTCTCTGTAACTGGTAAAAACGCTTGACTTTATTTGAGAATTAAGTTATTCTATAATACTTAAACTACATGTCCATCATACTGTCAAATTTAAACTCAACAGATAGACCAAAGAAAGCCTCGAGAATTTAATAGCGACTTCATACTCTGAATATCAGTAACCCCACAGTAGGAATCATCGATGTCTGTATGGTACTACGCATCAAACAATTATGATGCCAAAGGGTCTAGCACTGAACTGTAATAATATTTATGACCAAATTGAAGTACTTTCCTTTCACATTTTTCCTCTATTGCAGTCAAATTTCTTACAAACTTAAAATAAAACTATGTTAAGTCTCTTACTGTTAAAGCACAGAAACTACATTCGTACACTATTATCTTGTATCTGGTACTACCCTACGAGCAAGAAACGACAGAAAAAGACAGCATACACAATTTGAAGTGGTGTTACTTCACTTTGTACATTTTCCAGATGTTTACTCCCTATTAACATGAGCCTTTCCACATTATTTAAAGCATGCACTGAAAGTAACACAAATAGCCTGCATGTTTAAATGTTAATAAAAAGGGTGTCAGAGTAACCACTAGGTTCCTATTGTGACACGTTACCTTACGTCCATCGCCACGCAACGGCTACAATGGAAACTGCAGAGTTCCAACTCAATGAAGGAGCATTCCCGAGGCAACGGACTGCTGAACACGTGAGTTTGGAATAGGCACTTCCATGGTAACGCAAAGAACAGGAAGACGTTGCATAGACAATGCAGAAGTAACGAACGCGTATCCCCAGAAATGAACTACAGAGAGTTCGTTGTGCCCGTTACATAACAGCGGACAGTAGAAATGAAATAGTGAGGAATGGTGTCTGGTATCCAGTCCACAGAACACCTACATAAGCCGAGAGCTACAGAAGACAGCAAGAAGTCAGTATTGGGATAGCTGTCGCCGAAGACAGCTGAGATCCAACCACGGCCAAGGATAGTTGAGACGTCGCACTGGAGTATTGGTCCAAAAGTCAAGTGATATTGCAAGTGGTAATAATTGTAAGGTGTGTAAAAGTGAGTGTCCAATAAAGATTCGCTAAATCCGAGACCCATGTAAAGTTATTTGTTACGTGACATACCCAACACGTGACACTATTTATGTTTCTTTTACAGGGGCTTGGAAGTCCTGGGAGTTGACTGCTGTGCATATATGGATTAGCTTAATCATAGGGAACAGGCTTTAAGGGACACTTACTGGAATCCTTCTATATAAACTCCGAGACCTTCAAGTTCATGCAAATACAAACTTAAAGGCCTGTGTTGATTGGTGATGAAGGGAACAGGTAGGATGGCTGGGTTTCCACAAATAAGTTAAGAGAAGAACTTGGAGGTAGGACTGTGCCAACGGTACCTACTCTACTGTGATATCTGTGATCTTAGACTGAGCCACTGCCCTGAGAAGATAATTAACTATGTGCAAGAGGGCTGTATCCCTCTTGTGACATGACATAATTATAAACTGGAACTAGCTCAAGTCAGTCTGTTGTTGTCAGTTTACCATACAAACAGCAGATACAGCACTCCTGTAATATTACTTATATGTCAAACAGCAAATAACCCCTCTGCAACACATGAACCATCAAAGAGATATAACTTGACCGGCTGAGAGAAGATAAAAATTGGTTCCTACATCTGGAAGGTGTTCAAACCAGCAGCTGGTAGAGGGCCAGGGCTGACTATAGGCTAAGAATGGTGCAATAACAATTCACTTTAACAGAGAAAAGACCACATATATTGATGTTCTTTTTTTCCTGTGATACATCATGAATCACTTCAGTAGAGAAGTCCTAGTTACTCATCTGATATTTGGATTGATAGTAGTTCTCCTAATGGAGAAAATGTCAGGGCAACAGTGTGAACACCTATCCTCCTGCACACCTACTGAGAATGTTGGGGACTGCAACTCTTATTGGCTCCTCTCTTTCCATCCATACTCTTAATAGGTCCAGAACCCATGCTGCCAGGTGCTCAATGGCTTGTGAAGAACAGGAAGTAGCAGCTGAAGTCATGTTTTCAAACATTTTTACACAAATTCAGAAATGAAAGAAATAATTCTTACAGCAGAAATTCTGAAAAAGTGCTCTCATTAATACTGTATAATAATGTCATTGATAGTGCGTGAGAAAATTCTCAACAGAACAAGCTTTCATCATACTGAACTTCTACAGTAGCATGTACTATAGCAACTATATTGGAACATACTCTGAATAGCCTTTGCTGTTGGCTTTAACTGCACTGCTCCTCTTTGGACGAGGTGGTGGAACAGGTTTCCCTGAATCTTTTGGCTCCAGCAAAAATGTAACAATTCTTTCTGCTATTTCTTCACGGTTACCCTTCTTTTCCAAGTCTAAGATTCCACACAAACTCTTTAAAACCCTTGATTCCAACCTGTAAGAATGAAAAATATCATTCAAAGGCCACTTCTGCAAGAGGCAATTTGAGGAAAGTAATGCTCGGTGGCTAAGGCACACTTCTTATTAACATAGCAACACTATAAATATGACATAAAAGATTAAAGGCAGTATAATAACAACAATTTAACATTTACTTTAGAATTTATTTTAAGAAATTAAAATCACAGTTTTAGTTACCATTAATTTAATTTTCTTTTCCTGATTTGATACATTATAATGTATAATTGTAATAGTTTCTGTAATTAACATTGTGTGATAAATAATTATTTATCACACAATGTTAATTACAGAAACTATTATAATTTTTGAAGATTCTTCCTTTAATTATATATTCATATAAAAATTCATGATTAATTAGAGCAGAAATTACTTTTTTTAAGTTTCTAAGTTTCTCCTTTCTTCAAATGCACATTGCATGTTTTATACATAATACAAGACAATACACACATTTTATGAAGACCTTTCTTCCTATACAGTAAACACTTTCCAAGAAACAATGGAAATTCATTTCCTTAGAAGCATCTGGTTTGAACTGAAGCATGGCACCACATAAGATCCACGTCACAGTCCTTGCAGTAGTATGTATTTCCCTCCTTGTACTTTTCCCTTGCCATCTCTCTTGGAGCAGTATACTACACACTGCCTTGCAGTCTTTCCTATTTGATGGTTGGTGGAATAAACTCATGAAGTGTTGCTGTCAACCTATGGGGGTTGGTAATGCTGGGCCAGGTGTACACCTAGTTTAAGTCACAAAGCAAATGCTTTTAATCCTAAATCTGGCCTTTTCAGAAGATGGATCCAACCCAGCCTCCCTTTGTATAGCATTAAACTTTCGACTACAATGACATCACATTCAGGGGCAATTCAGGAACAGAAAACTTGCCAAATCTTGTTTAGTTTTGGATTAGGACATGTGGCTGGATCATAAGAACCACTGCCAGAGAAATGCAGGAACTGTTTTAGAAGTATAAAACAGCAACAGGACATAACTCTTGGAAAGAAAGGTGGGGATTGGGAGTGCTTCTTGTTCCAACACTAATCGAGTACTGGCTTCCTTGCACAATCCTCAAAATCTCACTAAAACTTCTATGATGTCAATCTTTGTGCCTTGAGAATCTTTGCAGAACACTTCCTAGAATGCATTCCTTTGTGTAATGATTAGTTTCCATAACAGTAACATTTACATGATGATCAACAAAACTGTCTTAAACTTCACTTTCTTCTGAATCAGATAAGTCAGAAAATTCTGAGGTTTAAGATTCATTGCCTGAAGATTCAGAATCAATGTTGTCACTGCCTTCCATCTTGAATGCAAGAACAAAGAGCAATATACAGGGTATCCCAGGAGGAATGTGCCAAACTTCGGGAGGGTGTTCCTTATGTTAAAGTATGCCGATATAACCCAAAACACCTATGTCCAAAGTTGAACGGTTACGGAGATAATGGCCCGAGAAAAGTGTGGTCTTCTGGCAGGTCCACGCATTGTACCTGTCAGCTGAGACGTCTTATCTATGTTTGTCCTTGAGTGTTGTGATTCACACTAGCTGTAAGCTCATGTGCTACATACAGAGTACGTTGCGGCCGTGTTGTGAATGGTTGGTAAATTAGTTGTGCGGAGTTGCTGAAATGCCTTTTGTGTTTTCACATGTGGAATACTGTGATATGCATTTTGTGTGTGGATTTTGCGGTGGCAATGCACGTGCTGTTGTTGAAGAATACCAATCCTGATCGAAGGATTCCACCTCGAAGTGTATTTACGCAAATTCACCAGACATTGCGTGATACTGGTTCTCTTCCGAGTGTTTCTGTGCACTCTGAAAGGGAGGATGTACGAATGATAAACACACTAAAGAACATTCTTGAGATGGTTCAGAGAAGTCCGCGTCTGTCCACTCGTAGAATGTCCTCTCGCATTGGTGTATCACGTATGCAGGTGTGGCGAACTTTACATGATGAAGAGTTGTATCCTTACCATGATCAAAGGGTAAAACATCTGGAACCAGGCGACCATGCACAGCGTATGGATTTGTGCCACTGGATGAAAGCTCATCCTGAAATCTTAAGCGTCATTTTATTCAGTGATTATGCGTCTTTTACCCTGGATGGTGTAAATAATTTAC